TTATAATCGGCAAAAATTACGCCAATTAGTATAACGAAAATCACGTGGTCCAATACTTTTGACCGGGGAGTGTACAACTGCTTTCGCACTTGATTCCGATTTTATTACCAAATATCTGCTTTCACACTTGGTGTTGTTGATTCCGGTTTTATCACTGTATTACCACCATCAGTCACTTCGAAAATTGGACCACGAAAAGGATTCGTTGGTTCAGACTTAAGAGCGATAAAACTTCCATATTTAGTTCCAGGAGTAAATTTGTCATCAATTGTGAATGAAATATTTCCTACAAAAAGTGTGGACTAAATTGGATATAAAGAAATTAAAATTTTTATTATTTTAAAAAAAAAAATAAGAAATTTAAATTGCACGAAATTTAATTCATAACATACATCAGCAATAAAGGATGGGGCAGGATTATGTTCTGCGAGAATAGCGAATGTTATTGGTTCTAAAAAAGAGAATTTCCAAATAGTAAGAATATATATTATCATTTATAATATTTTTAGAAAAGCAGAATTTTTTTTACTAACCATCAGCAGAAAATCCTGTAGTCGTCCAAGTAATAGTTTGTTCAGAACCAATAGTCAATTGTCCTGGACCCGGACCTTCAATATTAACGGATTTTGGTTCGCCATTTCCTTGTGGTATAGGAGAAGAATAAATAAAGGTAACCAAGATCGCAATAATCAAAGCAAAAGTAATTGATTTCATTTTTATTTTAGTTTTGTTATTAAAAAAAAAAAGGATGAAAGGAAAAAAACAGCTCGTTTATATAGATTTTTATTTTTTTTTTATCGTCGATTCATTTGACCTTTTTTTTTTTTTTTTTTTTTTTTTAAAAAAATTATTTTTCGCATATCATTCACATCTTGTCTTCCTGTCTTACTCTGAAGTGGCTTTTCGGAAAAAGACTTGATTTTTATCAATCAATTTAAAAAAAAAGCCCAAGCCTCCATAAATTATTAAAGTGATTAATGGGCTTATTGCCAAAATTTTTTTAATTAAAAAAATTAGCAAATGTTCTTAGTTAAATTATTTAATTCCTTCACTATTTCTAAAAATGATCAAGGGCTAAAAAAGCACGGCTTAGTAATTTTAATAAATTTCTGTTCAAGATGCGGGCATCTTTTTATGGATTAGATTATTAAAAATTAAAATTAATATATGATAAATTTGGTTGAAAAATTAATCATTTAGGAATAGGTGAAGTTAAACGGAATATTTTTAAAATGGATGACTCTCACAAAATATACATAAATTTTTTAAATAAAAAAGTAAAAATAAACAAAAGGGTGTAGTGGACTGGTAGCTAAAATTGAAGAAAGAAAGGGAACACCATCAAGTATCAAGTTCGCTAATATAATCTTATTAGATCGATATACAATTTGCAATCACACATTGTTTCGATATTTTAAACTTGATGGTGTAGAATTACGAACAAACATTTTTACAAGAAACAAAAAAAATCGATATTCTTGGATTTTATTCTTTCCTGTCCACTTTTTAAGTCGAAATCTTTTACGTGAACTATCGTTTATTCGATTAATATTCTGGTAACAAATTTGAATTACTACGAAACAAAAACCAGCTTACGTCGTGTTTTCATTCACTTTAATATGTTTGTCATCAGGGATTTTTTTTGAGGGTATAATTTTTTTTTTATCGGTACATTTAATCACAACAACCAATTAATGAAAATCATACGATTATCTGAATATTTAAACGTTTCGGAAATTCAAATTGACTCGACGTTATCGATGTAATATAATGTGACTTTACATCGATGTTTATCCCCTGAAAAATTTCCCGATGAAATCAAAAAGTAAGTCTTTGGTAAATAATTTTTTTTTGAATACCTGAGTCATAATTAGAATCGGTTCTACTTTTTGATCGATACCATTCCTATTTCAGACTTTAAGATGTCATTGTACGACGAGAATGTATTCGTAATTTTCGCTTGCAAAAAAATCTATTTATTTTAGTTAATTAATTAAAAAATAAAGGTCATCAAATGTAGATCTAGTTTTTAATTCGTAATGCTTTTGCTGCATAAATGAATTTCCTGATAATTTAATATTTAATTAAGTTTTTTGTTCATGCAATAAGAAATACATAAATTAAATGAAATTTTATAGGAAATTAATGAAATCGAAAATGATTAATAGGTTTATTATGAAAATTGTGATTTTACTTTAATATAGAGACTCTATTATCAATAGTATTTATTCTTGAAATAAGTCTTAACAAAAAGTCACTAAAGCGTAAAAATTGTCATTGCAACAGGTCAGGAAATACTACTATTCAATTTCCCCCTCAGCTATGATACTATAACATAACGTCAACATATAATGCTGATGCGTCGAGTTATGTCAAATTTTCAATGTCAAGCGTCTAATAATGACATTGTAAATAAGGTTATTAATAACAACTATTGGATATAAAGAATTTTATTTTATTATTTGTTATTATTTAGAATCTTATCGTTATACATTTAAAAAATGTTCAAACCTGTTTGTGAAATAAAAATTATTTCATCTCGCTTTTTTTACAAACAAAAATTTATTTCATTAAACATGATCACCGAATATTTTGCCACGAGATTTTAATATCATTGCTTGTCAATTAAATCATGGCTCTTTATAATCGCTTCGAATGATTTTATGGATTTATTACATTATCAAACACCATGAAAAAAGTTACCGCACCATATCAATTTGAAGTAATAGCATATTATAAGTGTTGTGACAAATGTATTCGTCTCAAAACTTGTCATTTATTTAAATTCTTTATTAATATATAGAAAAGAATGCAAAAGCTTGTATTTAAAATGTTTATTTTTTGCTTGATTGAACTGACCAACAAATTCAATTTTGGGATAGTTTTAGTTGTTAAATAAAGTAAAAGCATTTCTTACTCTACATCATAGCATGATTACTTGATGTTTAATGCATTATGCTTATGCAATGCTTTGCATAGTATCTTATTTCTTAAAAATACAAAGACGAGAAATTATGTTTCTTTTAACCTAAATCTGGTTAGAACGACAATGAATTAATATTGCTTTTTTTAACTTATTTAACGTCCTTTCCAGGTCAACAAATGAGTTTATTTTTTATTCACTTTCAACTGCAGCGATAGATGATTTGATTTTCTATGTGACGAGTAGGTTTATTTTTCTTTTTTCTCATTCTTAAATTAATATTTTCTTAATTATTTTATTTATTATTTTTAGGTTCTTTTAAGAGGTTCCGTTCGATCTACTGATGGTAAAGCTTATATTTTTATTTTTATTTTTATTTTTGTTCGAGATTATATTTATGTTAATAGCAGAATTGGTGTTCATTCCTTATAGTATCGTGTGTAACTATAAATTCACTGACTAAATTTTTGCTGCAAACATAATTAGCTTTATATTATAATAACCCTCTGTAATAGTCCAAAGTGCAACGAAATGACTATATATATATTGTAAATGCAAGGTAATACAAAAGTTATGTTCTTAATTCATTCTTAACGTTAAATAAAAAATCAGGACAGGACGGACATTGGGACATTTGATCTGCTAATTATACTTTACATACCCTATAAAAAAAGAATGTCCGGAATTTAACAGGAAAATGTATTGAAATAATAATGTACAAATTCCGAACATTTCTATTGTCCGGAATATGTTCCAAATCTTGGTGGTTTCCGGACATTCATTTTGTCCGGAAAATGTCATTGTCCAGAATTTCAATGTTCGATTTCTTTAGAATGCAAAAATAGACATTTTTCGAACATTTTTCGGATAATTTCCGGACATAATCCTGTTTTCCAGATATTTTCCAGACATAATTATTTTTTTCCGAATGTATTCCATTTTTCTGAATGTTTTTAGACATTTTCATTATTCATAATATCAAATTTATAACTTAATAATTTATTAATATTTAATTTAAATTTATTTATTTATTAAAAAAATATAAATAACGATAATAAAATATAATAAAAAATGTATTATTTAATATATTATAAAATATAAAAAGAAATAATATTAGTAATATTAGTAATATTTAAAATGGTAAAAAAAAATAGTAAAAAAGAAAAAAAAATATCGCATTTTTCTAAAATGATCCAAGCTGCAATTAATACAATTAATAAAAGAATTAATTTCTTAGGAAAAAAAAGAAAATTGAAAAAAAATATACGATTGTTGCAGCCCAATGCTAAAGAACCGAAAGTATAAAAAAAAATATGAACTGAGATGACTGCGCTTTTAGAAACATTAAAATTATTGTTTTCTCCATTTTCTAGACCGTAAAATAAGATCTCGCTATTGTATCATAAGTTCTTATAAGAAGAATTAGTAGATTTATAACTACTCCAGTATCGCAACAGTTTTTACCCACGTGAATTTTTGGTCAACTTGACCAAAATTATTCGTGATAAAAGAGTACTTGTCCCTAGTTTAATAATAAAATCACAGTACAAATTACGTGATTTACTATGTTTGTAACATCATATGAATTTTCTTTATATACTAAATATGATATGATTGTTTAGCAAGATAAGTATAGATTTAACTTAAGAATTAATTCTGATTATCAGAATAATCTTGTGAATATTATAGTAACTTAAATTGCTTAAATGAAACTTTTAATTATTAGAGTTCATGCTTACTAGTTAATCAGCACTGATATGAAGTTACTGTTCAAATTTTATGAAAAATATCCAAAAGCATGATCTATTAATCACTTGTCTTACTGAAGATTCTAAAGAATTTTATCTCATCAAAACCTCCGTTATTTAATTATATGTGGAATACTGCATAATGTATATTTTATTGAATATAGACATCCAGATAATGTTCTGAATGGTTCAGTTCAGTTCAATTCAGATTATAAATCTTAAAAATAAACTGGTAAAAATTTGAACCAAACTGAAAATTTTAGATTAATCTGAAAGTTCAGTTCGATATATTCAAATCTCAAAGGAAATGTAATGTGCGATTCTCTAAAGAATTTTGTAATTATTCTGCGATTCCCTTAGAGTTTTGCAAGAAATTTGTGATTCTCTTAGAGTTTTGCAAGTAATTTGTGATTCTCTTAGAGTTTCGCAATTACTTTGTGATTCTCTTAGAGTTTTGCAAATAATTTGTGATTCTCTTAAAGTTTTGCAATTACTTTGCGATTCCCCTTGGAGTTTTGCAAGTAATTTGCGATTCTCTTAAGAGCCTTAGAGTTTCGCAAGTAATTTGCGATTCTCTTAAGTTTTGCAATTACTTTGCGATTCCCCTTAGAATTTCACAAACAATTTGCGATTCTTTTAGAGTTTCATAAGTATTTCACAATTTTTCAATTCTCAGAGTTTCGTAATCTTGTTTTTACAATTCTTTTAGAATTCTCTTTTCTTTAATTACTTATTTTTTATGAATCCATTATTTTTTTTTAA